GAGGCCGCTACACCTTTGAGCCAGAGCCAAGCTGAGAACAATGTATTGAGTGGCCAACATCTGCAAAGAGAGCCACAGCTGGAAGCCACTCGCAACCAGTCAGTCATGCAACCGGATTCAAACAGGGAATTTGATCAACTGAGAACGTTAATAGTCTTAAAGCTGTTTTACCTGGAAATCAAATCTTATTGAATTAGGTCCAAAAACTATACCTGCATGCGAGTTTCACCAGTGGTATCGCTTTCTTTAAAGGGAAAGGACTACTTTTTATGCCCTAGAAACCATTTGGCACTAAGCACCGAAACCAAGTGCAGTGCAGGCAACTTGAGACTCTCAGCAAACAGCAGATGTTCATCTTATCAAGAAGCAGGCTGCATCTGGTTTGTGTCTGAACTAAAGAGAAGACAAATCCAAAATATTTACCTCGGAGCTTTACCGACAAAATGTGATGTCCTGACGTAACTCAAGTTAACTATTAACTACAGGACTCAATGGAAACTAGTTTTACTGTGCAATAGAGCTTCAGATAAGGAGCATAGATGTGACCACTTCAGTCATATCCCCTCAGTCATATCATTATATCTCATTAAGCTTAATTATCTTGTCAGGAGCGTTCTAAACCATACACAAACTAAAATTGCACTACCTTCCTCTTTGTTACCTCTGGAACAGCCAATAGTTGTTTAGGCCACATGTGACATCCACACACCTTCAGGTGCTGCCAATTACCCCTCAGACATGTTTATTTCCTCATGCATGACCTCTGTGTTAGCTGAGCAAACACTTTTTTTGTCACATAACAGGAAAATAAAAGAAAGCAGAGTTGATGAATGTTCACCCATTAGTATGGGAAGACCTTAATGCAGTGATCAAAATAGACTATCGGAAAGAACTATGAGTCACTGGGCCATGCTTATCCTAAGGAGGTTGGACACAGACAAATTCTTATATTGATTAATAGTCTATAAGATTAAGAAAATCCAAAGAGGTACAAATAGTAGGAGGAGTCTCATACAGGCTGTGTTTTTTTTGTATTGACCTACTTGCACATTGCTGTCTTTAGATAATTCTGTCCTCATGTTTGTCCCTTTGACTCACCATCTACCACTGACATAAGTGGACTATCTTTTGTTTTTAATCTAAACTGTTTCTGTGATCCTTACTGATGAGGTTATCAAATAGGAATGGTTGCACACCAAAAAGAAGTGTGTGTGTTTGCAGCATTTTTCATATCATTCAAAACACAGCATTGGCTTTGACCAACACAAGAAAATAAGTAGTAAAAAAAAAATCTGTTTGAAGATAAACAGTCCAGTGACTGAACGGATGACTTCCTGATAGTAAGACATAATTAGAAAGAGAATTTGTTTGTTGTGCTTATTTCGGAATCAGTTCATAGTAACTGAAGGTAAAGAGGGTTTCTGTAGAATCCTACTCTCTTGGGACCGTGGGATTTTTACATAAGAGAACAGATGTTTTATCAAAAAAAGATTCTATACTTACAGACAAATCTGCCCATTCTCTCAGTCTGTGGATTAACTGTATCAAAAATTGAATACTATCACCAAATGATATATCAACCCAACCACCAGTGATGTTTGAAAATGGTGTTAAATGCTGACGCTAGAGATTAAAAGAAGAATGGTAACCAAGCACAAAGGCACAGAGGACGACCTAAACACAATCTAATCATGCTTGTCTGGAGCAAAACAAGGATAAAAAACTATGTCAGGCAGACGAATGGCCAAGTTGCTTTGAACAGAATTGGGACTGCCTGCAAACTGCAAACTATCACAGTTTATAACCCTCAAGATGTGAATGAACCTGGAGGCTGCAGCTGAAGCAACCATGTTGAAGAGGATATCCAAAATGTTTGTCTGAGAGAAAGACACGTGTGCTTTACGCCACGGGACAGATGTTCTGGAGGCAGAGAGGTGCCTCTTCACAGCAAAACACAGAGTTGCTCAAAAGAGACCCCGCTGACCTCAGGACAGAGTGACTCAATGAGATTCCCGTAATGAGACTGCGCCATAGGGGGGGTTTATATAAGCTTATTAAAACATAATCCTGCTCGCACCATACTGTAACATGCCAGACAGACCTCCCTTTCAACCTCAATATTAGCCCACTGCAATTTAGTGGCTTCACTCCATCGAAATGAAGTGAGACAGTTCTTATTTCTTACATAACTTTATGTGCATGTTTCAAAGCATTTAGATCATAGTTACGGTTATTTAAAACGTAGAACTTGTGTGAAGGTCCACTGCACAAACCACACTCTGTAACATATGAAGCATTTGACAAAGCAGAATGATCTCTTCTTAATAAAAGAAATATGATCTTAGCAAAACCAGCTCTGCATGGAGTTAGGCAAAGAGAGGGGGTACTTCAGGATACATTTTACAACTCACTTCGAGCTCTCAAAATCCCTTGACCTGCTCTCATTCTCCTTAAACCCGTGTTATAACCACAGAAAAGTAGCACTTTACACTTGAATTCCTGGGAGCTCAAAAGAAAATGGTACAGAAGGAACCCACCAAATCTGATGTCTTAATCATACTTTGGAAGCAGATTTCTGCCTGGAATCATGAGTTGTAATCGTTCTATATGTGGGTGTCTTTTAATCAGGGCCCCAGACATATTGCATCGCATTACATGAGCTTGAGAAACACTTAATCCTTAAGACAATGTACAATGTGAACCACAGTCCACTGGCTGGATCCCTCCCCAGCTAAAGGGCTTGATTAACATGGTTAATGTTCGTCGGTAATCCCACCCCCAGGGCTGAGCCCGGGTCATTACGGTGGTAATTATCTGAGGGGTACCAGAAAAAATCCTTCATCAACTTTAAGACATCAAAACTGATTACAGAGCTGCCCTTTCATGTCGAGTCAGAGTTAACTTGTTACCTAAAAGATTCTCAAACGTGTTTACAGGACTGGAGAGTTCAATGACCACTTGAGTTTTTACAGCTGAGGGAGGCTACAGCTGACCGGCCCACCCAGATCACACCATCATCTGGTTTGAAAGAGGTGTTTCTGATCTGGAGTTTAGCCGCTACACCCTAGCAGTGCTTCTTAAAATGTGCTTAAATGTGATCATCTAGTGGGGCATTTGGTCACGGCATACCGATGATTTTTTTCACCCTCAGCTTTCTTCTATGTTAAACACTTACTTCATTATTATACTACAAAGCTAAATGACTAGATCTGGGGAACATTTGGGCTTTGTAGCTTAAGAGAAATCCCACTTCAACCAGAAAACAACTAATGGGAGGAAGGAAGTTTAAGTTATTTAGATATCTACTTGCAAAAGACACTGTCACCAAACTGTGTTCACCTGCACAATTGAATGGAATATTTGATTTGTGATAACTGAATCTCAATACACAGTACAATAATCAGTAACCAACAGCTACCACTTATGATTACAATATATCTCTTTTTCAAAAAATCCTTTTTCTGTCAAAGTCTGATAAGCTTTAGCAATGGTTTGGTCATTCTTGGTTATTCATGCATATCTTTATTTTCAAACAGTTTCCAATATACCTTACATTTGTCTAACACTGATTGCTTATACAGTCAGTTTTGTTGACTTAATCTCGCAATATGAAGTAGGCAAGGGACATTTTACCTGGAGGCATTTAAACATATAATCCTTCAGACAGGTATGAGTGTGTCTGTGGACCCTTCCCCCTGACACGTTTCCTGTTTGCTTGCCTCATGACTGACAGATGCGGATTTCTGCTAGACAATAACCTGTACCTCCAGCAGACAGGTAGCAATTACAGTCAATCACACAACCCACAACACTGAATCACAGGACATTTCACAAGATGGCAGCTCTGCCAAGTTGCAACAATGGGGTTTTCCTGCTAAAATATTGGTGGAAAATGGAGCCATCCTGATTATCATAATTAAAACTCTTGGCACCACCCCTACCTTAGTTCCATCCACAGTCAGTCTGGGCAACATACTCATCTGCACCCTGCCAGACAACACAAACTCTCTTTTAGCTGTGTAACCTATAATTAGCGCTTCTAAACAAGTACGAGAGCAAACTGTCATCCACTGCTCATTGTTGTATACTGTAGTGTAGACATGCCGCTAGGAATAGGAGAAAGGGACTATTTTAAGCAATTATAATAATATGATCCTGCGTAATGAGAAGTCTTGGTACCAACAATACCTCTGAGGCTGAATCTTTTGAACCACGCTTGACTCTTTCCCAACTTAGACATTTTTGTTCAGTTCAGCAAAATACCTTGTCCTTCTAACATAATCTTAACTGTTAACATCAACTGTTAACAGGGCCAAAGCACTAAAAATGAGATAAGTAATCTACAGTGAGCATGACGTGTGTTGTATCCAGATAATTCACACGGTGACTGATGTATACTGAATGATAAAGTTAATATTTTATCTCACCATCAGAAACATACATTTATTTTCCTGGTTATTTTTGGTATGCTTCTTTGATTCGTGTAAATGAAATGTGGTTCACATTATTTGCAAATCACAAAATCAATACTGATATTACGGAAACATCTTTTTGACAAAGTGGAAAATTTTTGAAAAGACAGTCTGGTGCTTGGGTCTTTTTTTCACCTAACTGTAATAGTTTTTTTTTTATGTAACTGAAAAATCCTCTCAGGTCAGCTAGTGCAAGCCTGTGCTTTGGATGAGCAGTTTCCCTCCACTGCAGTGTCTCTCACACAGAGAAAATCATCAGGAGATGCGAGCTTTTGTAAAGCCAAGGCCTCCCAAACAAATACTCCCATTATACAAAAACCAAGGTTTTTTATCCCATTTTTCAAGCGCATTGATTAGTCACTGGGCTGTGCTTCTGTCTGTGTCTATCTCAAACATAACCTTGCCTTGAACCGGTCCTGTTTGCAGCTCGAGTTGCCATGGTAACGTATCCCAGTAAGAGCCGAGCTACCTTTGTGAGAACCGTCTCTGCCAAAATGTTCCCAGTAAAGAGTCCAACATGAACAGCGGTTAAATAATTCACATTTTATTTTGTTCCACTCATTCAGGCCAACAAACCGTTCTCATATGAGAGTCAGACACAACATCATACTGTTAAGTACCACTTTGAGTTGGACAGCACAGTGGCTGACAGTCACTTATATATGTGTACACAGATTTATGTTCATGACATCGCAAACATCATAAATGATTACTATGTAACATACATAGGGACATATGACGTTTCATCCGTCTGCTCTGGTTTGCTATCGATCAGCTGTTGGTCAGAAAGAACAGATAAATAGACAGAGCAGAACAACAGGCTTCTGAAAAATAAGAAGCAAACACAGAATCAGTCTCTTTGGTGATTTCACCTCATTTACTGCACAAGATCAAAAGAGGAGAGAGCTCCAACACGCTGGCTGAAAAAGGGTGGATGATCATCGGTTTAAGGCTCTTACTGCCATGATATGAACAGAACCTGTGACACAGCGCCTTTACGTACAGGTCACCTGCGTCTCGGAACAAACCTACGCATCATCTAACGTCCTTAACTTTTTCTCACATACAAAGCAGGACTTAAGTTCCCATTATTATTGGTTAAAAGGCCACTGCATGGCTAGACCTCAGTGATGTGTGTGTATAAGTGCAATTTACAGCGGCAGCACCAATGTACGGCTGCAGCATTGTAACAGAAATAAAAGGAAACGAACCGGCTGTAGCTTATCGGACAAAGAACTCCAACAAAGTAAACAATGGAACATGTCCAGACTTACAGCAGATATCCAGTATATATGTCTGTTGGACAATTAGTATCAGTTAGAATGTGATCTTTTCATATTCTGTAAAGTCAGTCTCGGTTTGGTTTGGGTTAGTGAGGACAGTGTCAGTCTGTGTTAAAAAGTGTTGAGAATAGAAAGGTGACACTTGTGTCAACACTTTAAATGCAGCAATGACACTACAAACTGTTCATGGCAAAATAGCCTCCTTTCGAAATGCGTCCTAAAGACCATCACTGATTTTAGAAAAAAAAATTATACTCATATACATTTGATTGTAACCAAGAGAGGAAAGTGTCGACGTAAATTCAATAAAGATTTCTATATTTAAAATGATGCAATTTGACTTGCAGATTCTTCTGATCACTCTAACAAGGTGCAGGGTTGGCTTTAACAGCAGAATAATTGCATCTTTAATTTGGGGTTTTGAGCTAAGCGACTTGCATTAACTTTCATGTTTTGTGAGAATCAAAATAGAAAAGTCACGAGGTCTCAATAACTGTGTGTAGAACACGTGAAATAATATACTTTGCAAGACGGGGAACCGTATCAGGAGTATACTTATAGAACTTAACATCACCACCTTAACATCTCCCCCTCCAAGTCAGTTCACATTTCCGCCTGAACAAGTCCAGCATGTCACGCCGTCCGTATAACATTTCATCGGTGCCATCGTTTTTTTTTTTGGTTGATTGCTTTTCTTTGGAGCAGACAGTGGTCACAGCCTCATGCTCTCATGTCTCATTGACCATTTTTTTTGTCCGCCTCGCACCCCCTCCAACCTTGGGCCTGAGCAGACTCAGACTGCCGCTGTTGAACCTGTTGCTCCTCTGAAACGAAAGTCGATCAAGATCAGCTCAAAAAAGTCTCTCCCGTGTGAGCGTGACGACGAGCCCGTACATCCAACTCAGCCAACTCATCCAGATAAGTCAGCAGATCCGCTTTCCTAAACAGTTCAGTTTTTTTTTTTCCTCCCTTCTTATTGGACGCAAACGTACTTCTTCCACCAGGACTTGGAGAGCATTTTCATCTTGTCGGCCGTGCTGCGCACCTTCCTCTCCCGCCGCGCTCTTCGGTCGGAGTGCCGCAGCCCCACCGAGATGGCGGCGTCGAACACCTCCTTCAGGTTCTTCTGCGTCAGCGCCGAGCACTCGATGTAGGCGACGGCCCCGGCCTTCTCGGCCAGGGCCCGGGCGTCCTCCTCGGCCACGGGCCGCTCCCTCCGCCTGGCCAGCTCGATCAGCACCTTGACGTCCTGCCGCAGGTCGCACTGCGTGCCCACCAGCAGGACGGGCGTGAGCGGGCAGCGCCGGCGGATCTCGGGCACCCACTTCTCCCACACGTTCTGGAAGGAGGCCGGGCTGACCACGCTGAAGCAGAGCAGCAGCACGTCGGTGCGGGCGTAGCAGAAGTGGCGGAGTTTGTCGAACTCGTCCTGATGGGAACGGACACAGAGACACAGAGGGACTCTCAACCACGGACACAAATATCTGCTCAATAACAAACAGCACAGGTGAGTCAAGCCCATCCATTTTTTTATTTTTATCAATCGCAGTAATTCTCTGCCATTACAACACAGCTGTCACGTTGCTCTGACTACCAACGCCCTCCCACATCCCTGAGTACACACAGATTAAGGACAGCAGAAACCCGACACAGTCCTTTCCTTCTTTGTGTTTAACCCTCTCCTCCCCAGCAATTGTCTCTAAATTCTTCCCTGATCAGCCATCCATAAAAAAAGGATCTAATCTCAAAACATGGCCGATATCTACAGAAATGGTTCGGCTTTTGATTCAAAGTCCAACATAAGCAACCCCTCGCTTTGCAATCTGATGACGTAGGTCCCATCTGCGGAGTATCCAAACATATCAGCAGCTCTTAGTGAGGAGCAACTGTGTTTATCGGTTTCAGCAGCAGCTGTTATCATCCGCCCAGCTCCGCTCTCTCGTATACTTTGTTGGCACATTTCGACCTGTTCTTGGCACATGCGCCCCCTCAGAAAATTGCATCAGTCCATTGAGTGTTTGGTGACTTTTATCAAACGGCATTTGCCCAAGCTTGTCGGCGAGCCTGCGTGCGTGTGTGTGTGTGTGTGTAGTTTTAACGGCGCGCTCAGCCCCGCAGCAGGCCGTGCGGTTTAACACGTATTAAGGCTTTGCTAAGAGCCTCATTCCAAACACAAAAACTGTGATTCTGTGTAGAACTGGCAGCGCCCCCAGAGCATTTGTGAATGTCAAATATGCTGCTCCCAGGGCAGGGTGCCGCAGCACTCAGCGGGATAATGAAGCAACCACCCATGCCCCGGAGAACTGGGAACAATGTTTAATAACCTGTTGTTTTCAAGGGCGAGTTATTACAGTCACCTGGCAGAACTCTGTGTATCACTGTGTCCTGAACTGAAACGGGATAGTTTGTGACGAAATACACCATTTGCTTTGACTATTAGAGGGGAGGGAAAAGCTGTGGTAAGAAGATGTGAGTTAAAATCTACCAGTGATGCAGTCAACAGTTGTCTGTAGTTTCTAGACCGACAGTCACATGTCTAATTCACAGTGATATCGCACGGTATAAAACACAGATAAGCAGCAAATCTTCACGTGTGAGAGGCTGGAAAAGACAAATCTCCAAGCTTAATTCAAGCTTAATTCATTAAGGCTGGAAGCAGCATATGCTTTCAGATCAGGTGCTACAACTAATGCATCCTCGGCCTACTGTGCAAAAGAGTGACACGCACTCAAAAGGATTTTCGTTTAAATCATAAATGGCTACGATTTAAAAAGATCAAACGCTTCAAAATCAGATAGCTTTTCTTTTATCTGGTCAAAGGGGCAATTCTACCATGTATTTTCCTCTTTTTAAATCTGTGAAGGAATGTGTGGTTGTCCTATGGTATTGATTTTTCCTTATGATATTAAAATACATGCTAACAAAATACCTGAGCGGTTCATGAATGGGGGGCTGAATAGCAATAATTCTCACCTTTGCTCGTTCACCCAGTATTAAAGACCCACTGACCACCTAACACGCTGACTGTGTGTCATTTGTGTGAAGCACATTACACCGGGATCCCGTCGTGTCGCTGAATAGGTGTGTGGAAATCCGTGTTTGTGCACAGCTGCACTCACCTGTCCGGCGGTGTCACACAGCTGCAGCCTCACCGGGCTCCCGTCCACCTGGACCACAGCTGTGGGTACAAAAGCAAACGGGGCGAATAAGTCAAAGCTGTCCACACGGCTGCATAACCCTTCCACCTGACATTTCAGCCAGCGAGCACAGACCACAACATTACCGACAATAAACAACGGAGTGTAATTTGAAACACAAAAGACCCCCTGCTCTGCGCTTCCAGAAAGCAGACTGTCTGGCCCACCCAGTCTGCCAGTTAAAGCTGAGGCCGTAACGCTTTACTGTTGCTCGGACGGGGCTCGGCGGGCTTTTGTTCTGCGCCGCGTTTTGGCAGAGGCCCCGGCTGGGCTGTGCAATAAGGGGGGGAGTGAAAACGAATCAGATTTTGTTTATCCAGTTACTCCCTTTCAATAGGCCTCATTTCCAGATTGGGAAAGTGGATGAGTCATCTCGCAGCCAGTTTCATTACGGGGCCATTTATTCTTTGTCAGAAGAACCGAACGCAGAGTGGGGCAGCGGGCAGATGGAAACGTTTACAACGGGCCCCGAGTGTGCGGTTGGCCATGCCACCTGATCAAAGCCGTTGGCTGGAACAATTCATGCAGCGGGGACAGCTCTTATAGCGTCCTGCCCTTTGACACACGCCAGGAGAAAGGGCGGGAGTAGATAAAGGAAGGCAAACGTTGGCGAGTTGCATTTTGGAAACCATTTCCTGCTATGTGACATATGATGCTCCTTTGAGTTTTGTGGAGTTTAATCCCCCCCCCCCCTTCACAGCGGCTCCTGCCACCTGTGGCATTGCGTAACTGTTCAGAAGTCAGCTTTCAAGGGAAAGCTCTGATTCCGAGCACTCAGAAGTGACATCACCGCGCAGGGCCCCAACTGCACAATCACTCTCTGTCAGTTCAGGGCGAAAGACAATCTCTGCCTCAGAGCCATTGCAACAGATGTGCCCATTCCAGTATAGAAGAGAGGGCTCACGGGTCAAGGCTGACAACAATAGGCAGAGTTGTGCAATTCAAAACCCCTGAACCAGAGAGACTTTCTGTTCTGGAGGGCAGGATTGAGCCAGTACTCGTCTGAGGGTGGTGTGTGCTCCCAGAGTTGTTTTTTTTTTTTTTTCCTTGTTAGCTTTAACGGACATAAGTGTAATGTTGGCAGTTTAAGTTACAAAGATGAATTAAAGATAAGTTAAATAAACTATTTTGACAGGATATTTTCTGTTTGCATTCATGCAGGCCTTCAGTTGTGGATTAATGTGTTCAAGTCTTCAGGAGGACAGTTTAGCAGATAAATGCATAATCACAAATCCGCAAAAGTCACAGGTCTGTTTTTCCATATGCACTGACAAGTTTAAAACAAATACTTTCTTGCAAATGAAGCATGAGGGACTGATCTGACAGTTTGGAAAAATGGAAATTTGCCAAGTGGAAACCTAGCTACATCAGGGAGGATACCTCCTGTACATTACTTCAGATGGGAGGGAGATAACAGGAAACGCAAACACATTTATCATGCAGTGGAATAATGGGGGGGAAATTGGAGAATTTGGGTGGGGTAGGTAGAACGTGAGTACTGAAACATAACGCAGTAGAGCTCAATAGTTCACGGGGGTTTTCTCCAAATTCTGATAAAGTTAATCTTTTTTTCTTCCCCAACTGAATCACAGCATGCAGTCAGTCACAGTAAAGGTATTTAGGTTATGGGAACATCTGCTCAACCGATCACAAAATGTACAATCAAGACGTCCTAAACTGCGCTCACCTGAAAAGTCATCAAACGCCGTGGGGACGTATTTGGTGGGATATCCGTTGGTTGTGTAACTGACCACCAAACTGGTTTTCCCCACCGCTCCGTCGCCGAGCAGGACGCACTTCAGCAGCCGCTCCTGCGCCTCCCCCGGCCGCGCAGGTTTGGGCTTATGCGGCGGCACCGGGGGGGCCATGGTCCGTCCGTAATCCATCGCGGCTGGGGAGTGCGATCAGTCGATCAGAACCTCGCTGCGAACTCGTCGACAGGCAGATGTGGCACCCACCATGAGAGCAGATGTCTGTCTAAATGACAAGTTTGCCAGCGCGAGTGCGTAAAAAGCTCTGCCGTGCTCCTGCGCGCTGTCAAACCCAAGGGCTGCGGAGGACCGTCCCCGGAGCAGTTTGAAACAGCAGTTTTTCATCGCGAGGGGCGGGTCAGAGGCGGTTTATGTTCCGATTCATTTGCCTGATCCCACCCACTGCACCTCCCGGCAGCGCACGGCTAAACGGACAGAGAGAGTTCTGCAAGTTTGGATAAAGAAATTCCCTAACATCTGGAATTTTGTCATCGTTTACTCGGAGAGTGATAACAGAACAATTACCAATGCGCATACATCTCACTTAATCGATCGGTGTATTCCACCTCTGTCTATTTATTCAGACCTGTTACGCACTGAGTGCGGGTTTGAGGTCAGTTTCTTTTCTGGTGGGGACAAGTCCAGACTTGTTCTCTCCAGTAAGAGGCAGACAACCTATAGATGTCCGTTTTCAACACGACTTATACATGACATATAAAGTTATGAACTGTAAAACTCACTCAGACCTCCTGACCCAATTTAAACTGCAGCCACATAAGTGTGCCAAGAAGGAGCAGCCAAGGGGCACATCATCAGAGCTGAGCAGAAAACATTCAAAGAACAACGTATTACAGGTAGGAAAGAAAATGTGCAGGCCCCCTAGGTGCATGAAGTTTTGCAATGGCTCAGGTCATTGCCCACCCATGCTTTAATCTTTCAGAGATATGGGAGGTTTGAAGAAATTAAGTCTACTTTTGCCGCCACCTCGTGGCTGTAAAAGCTACAAAGAGATGACTAGTATCTATTTTGTTTACATGTTTACTACAGTAGTAAAAAAATAATTTGCTGATCATATGCAAAACTGAACTGTGATGTAATCCAATTACGTTTTTATGAACTTTTGAAGAAATACATTATATACTTATATGCTTTTTTTAAGTTTGGAAAAAATCTTTTTTTCATAATGTAAAACTGCCACAAGCAAAAGATCTGAGTTTTTTCTTTCTGCACAGCATACTAAGTACAGTTAGGCAGGCTACAAAGTTAAACCAAACCCACATCTCAGTCCATCAGCTTGTCAAGCCACTTTTTTTCCTTGAACACATTCAACTTGCAAATCTCATGAAGAAATTGTATATTCTGCTCCACTTCTGACTCCTCTAAAACTCCGGCTTCATGCCTCACTCTGTGTTCTGTGTAATGGAGGGTCTCTGTCGCACAACACTGAATGCCAAAACTCCAGAATTCTACTACAAATCGCTGCTGAGACTGCAGATGAGTAAACTTTTGATGGAATTTTTCGACTAAAGAGCAGTCTGAACAATTTTCACCCCGGGTAGAAATTCAATGTTGAAGCCTGTCTGACTGAAAAAGTCACAGCTTAAGCTTTACTTATCTTTTCACCGTGTTTATTTTTCCAAAGATAAAAGTCGACATGTTTTAAAGACTACAAAAAAAGTAGGGCACAACTATGACTCATTTCACCACCATTTCCGAATGTATTTAAAGACACTTTCATGACTGGATATACAACCCTGTTTCCAAAAGAGATTGGACACTGTAAAATTGAAATAAAAACAGAATAAACTATTTAAAGACTATTTAAATGCCAGATTTAAAAGCAAAAGAAGACAAAAATCTTAAAGCAATTTTGATTTTGATAGCAGTGACGTGCCTTTTACCATAAAATTGTGTAAACATTATCCATTATAAAAATAAAAAACCCCAAATGTTGCTGCCTTCACATGACCAAATCTCAGCTCAGATACACTGAAGAAAAGTGTAAAACATGCTGAGGTTTGAAAGTTACCACATACACACTATAGAAAAAATTGACCTTTAGCCTTCCCCACATTCAGCTCAGAAAGCTTCAGTATTAGACATGGAGGGGGCGTGAGAAAGCTATAAAGGCAGAATTACCAGTAAAACATTTTTTCTAAATGGAGGTTGTGGAGCAACAAGCACACAACTCAGAGGACTTTTCAACGATTGCCACAGGACACTGGGGAGCAACGTTTTGGACTAAAGATGACCACACAAACCGATCTGGTGAACTCCTGTCACCCATAGAAAATCTCTGACTGTAGAAAATATTGAACCAAGAACAAAGAATGGGCCCAAAAAACTGGAACGTTATTAATATTTTTCGTATTGAACATGCCACACATTGCCGTTTTCATTTCCAATTAAATGTAGGGTTTAAATAATTCACATATCCCCTCATTCTGGGTTTATTTCCATTTTACAGTGTTCAAACTATTTTCAAGACAGGTTTGTACTTTGTCCCCGCGGCATATAAGGCTACTTCAAAATCCTGTGGTTTGGACTGTGCCAAACAGTTGTATTTAAATGATAAGTTTTAGAAATCAACAGCTGAGAAAAATCAGAAGATATCATACTAACAGGCTGGTCCGTCTTGATGCACAGGCTCCTCGATTTCTAAATTCTCTAAAGTTCATAACTGGAAGATATTCAACATGTCTATTTGGGTTAGTATTGAACGTGTTTATTTGGGTTAGTGCTGAAAACAAATACAGGAAGGCAGAGGGAGGTGTGTGTGTGTGTGCAACTGTTTAAAGTGAATCACTAAAAAGCAGCTCATGATGTCTGACTCTAACATGCCATCATGTCCGGGCTCACATCAATGCTTCTCTTCTCCACGTGTTGTGCAACAATAAGGCAAAGGAACACATTCTTGGTGCAACCTTTTAAAGCATCAGCAAGAAGGAAACGTGGACTGAAACCGCTGAACATCCTGTCTGATTTCATTATTCCTAAAACTGATCTAATTACAATTCTGTAGAAGATACCTTGTACACAGTTATTTGACAGAAGCACTGTACACATACAAAACACCATTCTCCAGAGGGTGATGCTCAGGTAAACATGGGAAGTGGTTTGGATGAGGAGCTGCTTTGATTAAGTATAAGAATCAGATCATGCACTAAAACCTGCAGTTAGAAAGGCACCTGCTGTATCTCACTTCCACTAGGCTTCACTCTTTTTATGCTCAGACCAGAGAAAAGAAAGGTAAGAACCCGTCTTTTTTCATCCATCTCCCCGACTTCCCATCTTCTGTTCACATGATTTCTTTCGACCTACATCACGCTGCAGTGGCTGAACTTATTGCAAAGCTCCTTTATCTTTCTATCCATCTCTCTACTAAGTGTCATGGAGCGGGACTGGACTACTGTGTGAAGAAATTAAGGCTCGCAATGAGGGATGTTGTGAATGGGGTGAAAAGAACCTGAACGGATTGGTAAATAAAGAAAAAACATGACTTTAATTGTTTTGTGAGTAACACTTTCATCTCAGCAATCCGTATATCAGGAAACACACACACGCTTGCACGCACGCACATACACACACACACACACACACACACACGTGCTTACACGTAGTGACACAGTCATGAGAATGAGTATGCTTTCAAAATGTACATGTGCTCACACATGCATCCTTATTTGCCAGATTTATGCTGCCATGTTTAGTAATGACCCCTGTTTTTCTCCTCACATACAAATAAAACTAAAATCGGATTTTACTGCTTTCACATTAGCCACCGCCAGAGGGAGAACTCCCCTTTTATGCTCTTATTACCTCAGTCAATCTAAGACAGTCTCTTTTTTTAACCCTTTTTTTATGTATCAAAAACCATTTTTTCCTAAGATGATGTCGGCCTATAACATCAGCAGCATGAGTTTCACCCTGGATTCATACACTTTGAATGTCTCAGATACAGTTGGAGTATAATCCACATTATCGTACTATTAAAATAGCCCCCCCTTCCCTTTTTCCAGTCTCTGGAGCTCTGTATTCTTGAGCTCTAAGCACAAACTGCTGAGTAAGACTTCTGAATGACAGTCTGGAACTCCGGTTGGTTTCCACAAGTGTTTAGTGGGTTTTGGGTTTGGCGCCACCAGGAGTTGGATCAGGAGGAGGGCCGCCACCCTGTGCGAGTCTTCTCAGACTACATGGGGGGGAGACAGAAGTGTAGTTAGTGGATCTGCGCGTCAACAGGTTAACAATGTTAATGATTAGCCTGACACCAACACTGCAGTGCTGAACATTAAAGGACATACGTGAACCCCCTGCAGTAAAACAATACATCCACAATCCTAAAGATGGAGGACAAAGGTTCTGATCTACGTCACAGCTCCAGAAAAAGTAGGAATAAAAGTCTTAATGGAGTGTTCACACACAACTCTATTGATAACTTAGAATAATTCTGATTCAACCACCTAAATAGGCTATTTTTATTGTCTTTTGAGTGGTTTGTTAAGGAGTTAAAGCAGTTGAGTAACGGTTTCATATCAGGAAAACCTTCCCTTTGATAATGTTTGTTCAAAAGACACATTTACTGGGTGCCTCCTAATATGCAAGCCAAGGTCAGCTTTGCTTGCAATTATTCATTTTTATGCCTTTACCCTGAGATCATAAGTTTATCATTTTCTTATCTGGAACTCATTTCTGAGTGATAATTTATCTTATTTACTTGAAATAAGTGGCTCTGCTGTTAATGGCTAATGTCATTGCTCAGTCGTGCAGTCACGTCAGTTTGGGGAGGATCGAAATCATTAAAGAAATGTGCATGCATGTAGAATCTTACATCTCACCATCCATTAGCTGCATTTTAATACTTTCACCCCTCACACATGCATTACAACGCCTATGATACTGGGCTTCCAGGGCAGCAAAAAAGATATCCGAACAGTAGCGATTCAGACCTGGACATCATGTTCCCTGTGCCAGCCATTCTTTGAACTCTGAATAGTTTAATAAGCCAATAAAAAGTTAAACTGTTGCAGGTTATACACAATGGTTTTGAGATATATTTGAGACAAAGTGTTAATATGTCAAAGGACAGCTATAAATCTGATCAGATGTTTTTGATTACACGTTGAAACATTTGTTTCAGTCGTGATTTCCCATCAGAGGTTTCATTTTGTAAGAGCTGAAGTGAAATAACTTGTTACCTTTAAATAGCTTGAAGCAATTCCTTCATGTTACTACTTATTATTCCTTTGAATATTATTATTGTAACTGACTTCCTTTAACGGTATTGTTGATTTATTTCACTTGTTAACTTTGGAGAAATTTAATAAACTAATAAACACAATGAATCTGTGCTCTATACATTTGTGTGACTGAAATATTGTTCATTTGTGATTGCTGTGCTCATGGCAGCGCTGTGCCAGAAGGTGGCGCCATACTCACAATTCTTTGACATTGTCGATTTTGGCCTGGATTTTTGCAATGACGCCATCAATCTCTTCCTGTAATATCACAGTATTGTGAGTGTGTATGTTAATTATTATGAAAATAAAGGACAATTTAAGGTGTATCCATGAAGAGTTAATACCTGGCGTCTTTGATATAAAAGTGGCACAGAAAACACAGCAATTACACCTAAAAAAGGACAGAAGATGGAGAGAGTGAGTAGGTCATAGGTGAACCAAGATGTAACTAATGAATTTTTATTTGTGGTGAAGAAATCTGAGTCTTACTAATGATGAGCAGAGTAAGGCCATTGCACAGATCTCCCAGGTAAGTCACAAGGTACATCAGAAATAGGAGCTAAGACCAAGAAAAACAGAAACAGATGCAGAGAGATGGTTAAACTTCCGTAAAAGACGCAGCATCACATATTTTCCTCATTTGTAGTGTGTATCTCCTGGATAACCTGATAATAGGATCATGACATAATTCCTCCTGGTAGAAGAGCTAAAGCTGCAAATACAAAACTCCCAATATGGATAAGGGTGTTCCACCTTATATTTGTCAGTGTCTCAGTCACTGGAAACGGGATCCAGTTGCCCTGTCATAGGACACCCCGGTTTGCACGAAAAGAAACTCCAGCTTATCCCAGAGGTCTCTGCACATGGACTCCGGTGAGTCATTTCACATACCGGCCAGGTCAGAGTTGAGAGCAGGAGGTCCCGGGATTAAGGGCGTCAGTGAGCTCACACCCATTAACACTGTCCGCAAATTAAGTAATTCAGCCGGCTGTTAATTACTAAACTGCTGTCATTATGATAAAAAAGAAAGACATAAATACACATGCAAAGATATTAATACGTGTGTTTCTAAAGTGAAGTGGATGCATCCTCAATAGTGTAATTTTGAGGAATAAGAAAAGAAGGAATGAAAGGAATAAGAAATCATTTGGAAGGTTGATAGTTCAAGTTCTGGCTTCCCAGGAACACATGTCCTTGGGGAAAACGCTGAACCCCACGTTGCCTCTAATTGATTTATCAGTGTGTTCATGTGTGCGACAACAGTCTGTGGACTAAATTCTGCTCTATGGGTATGCTCGGTGCGTAAAACCATGTCTAAGCCCTCGTATTCAGTTCGTGCACATAGATGTAAAAACTGTGTCCCACACTCATAGACCATATTACTTAATAAAGCATTAAAAGTTTAACCAAAGAAACAATCACTGTGAGTTTAGCCTTGAGCTGAAGTGCCACAGTGTGAACACATTATGATGTGATCATATGAATAGAGCTTAACCAGACAGATGAATTAACAGAAGTCAAGGATCTTCCTTTATCAATGTGGCAAGATGAGTTAATAAAATAAGAAAGTCCATCAAGATTGATCTACAGTTCAAGGAGGCACATGCATTGGCAGGGACTGAAGGAATAGAATAAAAGACAAGAGCACATCCTTTTCATACTGTCAGTATCAATTCAGTTCAATTGAAGAGGAAAAGATTGTTTTCCAAGCAATTAGCAAATATATGTCTCAGGGGCTGACAGTAGCTGTCTTTGCCTGAACAGAGATGATGGAAACGAGGGTTGGCATGGCAATGCTGTTTTATCCAGTGATGGAGAAGGGAGATTGGAAGAGAGATGAGAAACAGAATGAAAAAAATGCAGATACGGACTGATGGGTTAATGAGAAGGGGTGCAGTTCCTGAAATAAACTAAGCAAATCTATGCAGACGAATAGCTACAAAGAGGCTGAACAGTCTCCACAAACACACACACACACATAGACACAAAAACTTAAATTAGAATTCTTAATGCATCCCCTCACTCTGTTTGCAAACTCTCACTCTAAGATTTACCATTACCTAATTCCATCTCTAACCATAAAAACCCATAACTGACCCATAACAAACCATTAAAACACGACAGACCTGCTATATATATGATGGAATTATTGATTCTTTAAGATTTTGTCAATATTTAATGCATTTTGGTGTGCCTCTTTGTTTGTTTTCTTTAAGATTTCTACCAAATACACTCTGCTCTACTCAGTCCCCCAAAAACATTTGAAGCCTACAAGTTGAGCTCACCTTGAGGGATTGATAAAGGTTTGCAACAAAAAGGAGCCTCATCAGAGTGTCAAAAGCAGACATAGTGAGAACAATAGCTTTCTGCATGTAGAGGTCAGCCTGTTCTCCACTGAAACTGATGTCAAGGTCCAAGTATGACCTGAAAATAGACAGAAAAACAATCACGACATGCTGGAAAGGTTTACAAAAATACATCATATTCCCCCTTGTTTTAAATCACAAGAATGCAAAGGTTATATCACACCGGATACATATTATGCATAACAACACAGGGATTCAGGGCCATCAGTGCATTTTTGTTGATTTAGATGTATTTTTGTTAAATATATTAGTGGAGTTATCCTAACCTTTACCCTAAATCATCAGTCATCTGAGCATTAACATATACTATTTATTACGAATACAAGATAAACAAAAAACATTTCTAAAGACAGAAATATGCTTTGACAAAATGAAAACGGGGGATAAAAAGGTTTTGCTCTTAAATATTTGGGCTTGACCAAAAGTCAAACTGAAAAAAACAGGAAGTAAAAACAAGGAGTATGTTTTCTTTTTTAAAAACTGAGCATCTTACTTGAAGGGATGTTCCCCATCCCCCCAGCTGAGGATGTAGAGGAATTGATAATAGATGCGAACTGAGATGGTGAAGCACATGACGGCCAGGGAGACTGTGGACACCACAGTGATGATGCTGAGCTGGAACAGGGACAGTAATCCCACCACCAAACCTGTGAGCACCATGCCGGTGCGCTCCGTGTCCTTCCAGTAGATCAGGTCCATCACTGAAAAACAAGACGTGTGGCTGAGGCACAGACCCAAGAAGACAATATCTCTTGCTGTCCACTTCAAAAGTGAAGTGGACAAGAAGAGACTGGTGGCTATTATAGATACATTTACGTGATCGCTTTACATTTTTTTCCAAGATTTCTACCAAGCTACACACTGCATAGTGGTAAAGCAATATATTCATATTCCAGTTAATGGATTTGTTGCCAGATTCTGGATTGTAAACAGAAGGAATATGCAGCAGTATAATGTAATATAGCAGTTGTAGCACTGAGACACGATGGGGAAGAAAGAACAGAGTTGGTAGGACTTGGGGGAAAAAAGGCATTTCCGGCCACAAAGTGGCGTCGCTGAGGGGACACGTCTTTTATTTATTTATTTGAATAGGGACAAAGCAGATTAATGGACATCAGTGAAAACAAATGTAAATATGCCGGATTGTAGCTACAAAGCTAATTTTCATCCCGTAGTCCCTAGTTAAAAAATAACATATCAGGCTCTGGACTTGGCTAAAATTAGCCCTCAGATGGGAGAGGGAAGCAAACATGGAGGAGAGTTTGAATGCGGCCTTTTGACAGCACCTGCTGTCGGGCGTCAGGCCGTCAGCTGCCGTGTCTCAGCAAAACCCCGTCGGCTTCTTTCACCGTCACCTGGCAACAGCTGCCGTGGAGACTGACGTGTCCCCAAAATCCATTTTACGGTCAGGGGACGGCTTTGATACATAACTCAATACACGTTGGGGGATAAAAACCGGAGGGGGTGTGTTGCTCTCGGGAGAGTGGTGAGGTTTTTAAGGCTTATTACAACTGCACTGTCGGTCACGTAGCTCTTTTGTGCTCGTCACTCAGTGAAAGGCTAAGCCTCGGCGTAAGAATACAGGGAAGCCTCTTTGAAACAGAGTGCACTGACAGCAGGTGGGCTATTTATAGACATAACCACGCTCATTTAATACTCATGATATCCCTGGAGCACACCTGTCCATTGCATTTGTCGCTGGTACGGAGAGACCGACAAACTCAGCACGCGGACAATCGGGTGCTAATTAGAGAGGAAAATGCCAGCAAAGCAATAGAATAAAAAAGCACCTCTGTGGGGTAAATGTTTCTGTGAATAAAAGAAGAAAGGAAAACGTGGAATAAACAAGGATGTTTTCACAGATGTGAACATAGTTCTAAACTCCACTGCTGTCTCGGCCCTGCTGTAATAGTTCGGCACAGCATCTAATCAAAAGTGAGAGGAATGTGGGGTTTGATTCATCATTGACATTATTTCAAATGGCAAGTTGTATCATTTTAAAATGGAAAAGATGTACAGCACAGCTACAGAGAGTTCTGTTGGCTCTCTGTGACGACTGAACGCAGAGGGCATCAGACTTTTTTCCATCTTAAAAAAAGTATTTTGCCCCCAAACAGTTGTCTCTTTGAATCCAAAAAGCCTGCACTGTTAAGAAGCCCAGAGTTCATACAAAACAGAGTTATGTTCTGTCTAAGATGAAACTGTTCCCTGTTTGGTTTTTCATTTCTCAACCTGTCAACATCTTCGTAGAGACGTTCATGTGATACCTGCCTGGTGGCTCCTTTTCTGAGGCTTTCCCAACGTGACCAATCTGAGGACTGAGTCTAGTGGGATTTCTTTTATACAGACAGGAGCTAATTCAAAGCCTTTTGTACACAAAGTCAGAAAAAAAATGTTGCGGTGATGCAAAAAAAAGAGCTATTTTACAACGTGACGTATGTTACATAAATGGCTTCAAAAGTCTGTTTAGGCATTTTGTTATGCTATGAAATAATAGTTATCCATCATTCAAGCTAATGAGAAAATCGAACAGCCAGTGGTATACCACAGCTGTCTTCACCTTTGGAAAAATATGCTTATTTTACCTGAGACAGCCTTTTTGCACTGCTCAGCAGTTTGTTCAATGGCAAATGGCAAGAAAACTCTTGTTTTCAAATTTTATATCAAGTGGACAAATACAAAGATTTTTATTAAACAAAACAGATGTGTTTTGGAGCAGCTGAAAACACTCATGTATGGTCAAATTGTTTCATTTGACTACGTTTCATTTAACTCTGTTTCTCTAAGAAAAAGATTCAGCTCTGCAGCAAGTTACTGTAAACAAAGTCATGGCACAGGTATGTTGGATCAGGGATCTGATTTAGTTATCTAATACTGAGAGCTTTCAGATTAGTTGAAATAATCTCTCATATGTCAAATGAGTCCTCTACTGCTAAATTGTCCTAAGATGTGCCTGCAGTACTTCCCACGTGTGCTGTGTGGAAAGTGTAACTTGGTCTGACATAGTCGGGTTTCCATCTCGAAATGTTCCTAAAAGCTCCAGTGGTACGAGACCGACATACTAAGCAGGAACAAAGTGAATGGAAAGCAGTGCATTAGGAAATGAAGATCCTAAAGTTGTAGTCATAAAATTGTGCATGAGCGTATCATTAGTTCTTTAAAACAAACAGGAAAGCACGTGACCCTGTGAGGTGATGTTATGGATGTTATATTTCCTGCTGCTTCTAGTCTTCTTTCCAAGATAGACTAAACTTATAAGGATTTATATTGATTACCTTATCTTCCCAACAGTAAAATACATATAATCACAATAATTTCATCTTTTTACATGAGCTGTCACACACAACTGTATGGATCATCAATTGGTATTTTTTGGTCACAAGGTGCAGTTTCAGTTCATTTCAACGATAATTCATTTTTGTAATTATTAGGAATACCACAGGTAATGTATAACTTGATTAAACTATATCTAAATTGATGTACTGCATATGTACATCATCCACAGGTGTGCCCACAGAGTCAGTAACGAAAGGCTTAGTAATAAGTAATTATTGACTGGATCTAATGACTACTTGTATGTGTTTGCTGTGCAGTACAAAAGGACTGCAAGAGAAAGGCAGTGAGTATTTTAGAGAGGCAGAATTTCCCTGTACTGATGACTCTTCTTATATGAACTAGCTACCGATAAGAAAATCCACTCAGTTATAAGTCATAAAGCACAGTGTGGCCTAGTTCAGATTGACATCAGCTCCTATTAGACAGCTTAAAGCTAAATATCATCTTCTCTTTACTTTATCAGTGTAATCACACGTCCAAAAACACATTTAACCGCCACAGACTAAAACCTCTGTGTGCAAAGCAGCTGTTCAGCCTAAAGGGGAAATATCTAAACCTAAGCAGGAGAATCTTTACACACCTTAACAACCGTCTGCTAACTGCAAAGCTGAAACTCATTTGAATGGCAGGTGCTCATTCAAATGAATGCCACTGATAGAAAGACTGCCCAGCTATTTCTGAGCTGAAGTCAAACAAACCTGCAGCTGATCAAACCTTCAGTCTCCAGAGAGTGGGCTTACACACTGATCAGAGAAAGTCTGCCTGGTTCCCGCTATCAGTCCCATGACACTTTGGCTTCACTCCGTAGCCAAAGTGACCTGATCAAGAGTCTGATATTTAAGATGGCAAGAGGTCTAAATCGGTCGTGGTCAAATCTCCTGCTCTCTTCCTTTTGCATTTAACTTAAACTAAACATTTAGTCGTCTATCATGTAAGAGAGAGAGAGTGAACGGCTACATTTGGACTTCAACAGAGCGAGGTTATCCAGATTTACTTGAATCAAACATTCTCACCTTTACTGGCCATTTTGGTCGATGCTCCAGTGTCTCCCCTCACACCCTCAGTCCCTCTCTGAGTCCCCCTGTACTCCGCTTGCCCCTCTGAGCTGTTTTTGGCCACCCACTGCTCGCTCAGCAATTCAAAAGCCTCACAGCCCAAAATAATCTCATTCACAGCACCGCCCACCACTCCTAAAGACTGCCAAAGATTCACACATACAGACTCCCAAATATGCCGGTTTATTTTCAAGATAAATCATCATTTGACTTCAATAAATGTCACCCAAAAAATTTAAGGAAGATCTTATGTAGTTCTATTAGGATCAGATCAGAATTTGTGTTGATATTCAGGCATTTTAAATATTAAATTCAGCAGAGGGTCCAGAGTTGTTCTCATCATGTCACAAATCTCCTGACCAAAGAAGCACTGAAGTTTAGTAACATTTCCCTAGATCCAGCCATAAAATGGAAAGTAACATAACGCTCCTGCAAATGAGTCCTTTATTCTGGACACCCTAAACGCTGTCATCAGCTTGACCACACATTCATCAAGAGGCGGAAGGTTCACAGCCCCGCTGCGGCCACTAAAATAAGAACGAGCTCCATTCTGACTGTTGTGCCCATCCACTTAAAGTGCCGATGATCTTATCTCTCACGCGCGCTTAATTTGTACCTATTTCCCTCTGACTGCGACGCCTCACAGATCTGCATCTGCAGAAACTCGCTGTGAGTGTGTGCGTCACACGGAGAACGCGTAGTAAACAATGGTATCTGCTATCTGCCCAATGTGTTGTTCACTCCTGAAATCCAGCGAGGGAGAGAATTACTATAGAGACCGATTGAGTGGTGGGGACTTGTGATACCCCGCCTGCTCCTAAAGGGACATTCTGAGAGTGAAATCTGATATTTTCTTTGATGAAGGCATTGATTCACAGGCCGAGAGGAGGAATCACTCTGAGCAGTGAGACAAAGAGGCAAACGGGAGGAAGATGGACGACAGATAAAGAAATGAAGTAATTTAAAGATAAAGGGGGGTTCTTCTGGTACCTGCTATGTGGGTGCATACTGGATCCTCTGTTAGGTCAAGCGCTGAAAACCAGTGATCGCTGACCAGCTGTTCCTGAGAGTTAAGGCCAATGACAGCCGAGGACGAGCACGGTGGGCCTCTGGGCGATGTGAGAAGCTTGACTGAGATGGTTTCCCTGGTGACGGGAGACTCGTGCTCAGGGATTGGTGAAGCAGCTGCTGCTGGCAGAGAGAAGATGATGTCACATTAGTGACAGCATCCCTATTAAATCACTTCTACTGGACTGCAAGCTAAACAGAAAAAGGCAGATTACAATTGCTCTATGTAAGGAAAAAAGTATTTTTTAAAAATGGGGGGCGGGGGGGGATTTTAATCAGGAATTACTTCAGGCCAGCACAGCAAAATCGTGTTTTTGATTTATGGTATTTTTAGCCAGCTGTTGACTGTTTAATGGCGTTCAAATTTACAGCAAGATCATAAAATTCTTTCAAATGAAGTTATCCTGACTCTTGCATTCGCTTGTCACCGTTGTCACTGTGCAGGAATTCCTCACCCTGAATCATCTGTGAGGGGCTCTGTTGCTGGGCTGTCTGGGTTGGAGAGGGAGGTCGGACATAATGGCTCATGCTCTCCTCTCTTTGGACTCCCGCGTCCCCCCCTTGTGTTTCTAGGTCTGGGGTTTGGGTAGAGGGCTGGATTGTGATAGTCTGAGTTAGTTCCCTGACCCTTCGCCTTCCGGGGCTCGCTGTCCTTACATCGACCCTGTCCCCCTCTCCTCTCTCTAACGCTTCCTCCTCTTCCTCTCGGTTGAGGAAGGCTTGTGGGTCCCAGTCGACATCCGGGGAGTCCAGCAGCGTCTCCAGGGTGTCGGTTCGGATCAGAGGAGTGCGACTGCCCCGAGGGCCTCCCCTACGCCGATCACGGTGGTGCCTCGAAGCCCCGACGGCCTCGGCCTCGGCGATGGCGATGTAGGAGAAAGTCAGCTCAAAAGAGTTCTGACGGGGGGTGCCCCAGATGGACGGGGAAGAGGCCAGTCCGTCATCATCCCCCGGATCCCCGTCTCCCACATCCTCATCATCATCAGACCACTCTCTGGCTGTCTGGAGCTCATAAATCTCTGATTCTTCATTCCCGCCTGGAGGGGATAAAAAAATACACAGGCAGTCACCACAATAGACGGAACAAACGTTCAACAGCGCAGCGCTTCTGTTCAGACAACGGCTTTTAAAAAAGAGATGAAAAGATGACAGCGCACAGGTGTTTCATTTGATGTCAGTGAGAAGAAAAAGAAAGAGAGAGAAAATGAAGAAAAATTGACCTCTAGAATATACAGTAGAAGCACCTTTATTCCCACTTGTGGATCTGTATTCCTAATTTTGGAGATGCTGAATGAGATCTGTGTTTGGCTGAGCTGGCTCTATACCTAAGTTGATGGGTGGAAAGAATGTTGAACACTTCTTACCGTCAGTGCACGGAGGAGTTGAGTCTGGAGTGGACGCCACAGAGCCATATTCCTCTGGAAGAAAAAACGCTTTTGCATAAATCTCAAGGTATCTCAACGTTGAAAGATTAATCACATTACTCTATAGTGCCCTCTACACATTCCTAAAGTGCCCTCTACACATTCAGCCCAGGTCTACTGTACATCAGAGAAGTGAGACCACTCAGGTCCCGACAAACACTGCAGTACACTGGTGGAAGTTGCAGCAAACAGGGTTGTGGTTGTTTTTTAGGACTTTACCGTATTTCACATCAAATGTGCTGATAAGACCTACAATCCCACATGTCTATACAGTCTAGGAATACAGCGAACGTCATGCAAAATGATGTGTTCATCACTTTTATGCGGCACTCTGTATCTATATTCCACAGTGAGTCATTTTGGAGAGGAAACAGCCTTCCCGACGATAGCCAGCATGACATGAGCATATAGGGGAGTTTTTACTCTGTTCTGCAACCGAACCTGTGTCTCTTTGTTGATTAGATCAGCTGAGCGCTGAGCAAAAAGGTACAATACACCACAAATATGGAGTCACAGTGAAAGCTTCCGAGGAAAATCAACTTGCATCTGGTCCTGCCTGCCTGCAGAAGGCTTCCAGTGCGTAGCCAGATGCAGTCCTGTCAGCCACAGCCACACAAAAACAACGAAGCAGGCTCGCTGCTGTGCTGCAGCACTCCATCCAGCCAGCCATGTGTTTATCAAAAGGTAGGAGCATGAGAGAGGAGGGAGGGGAGTGAGCTAACACACACAACGATGCTCACAGCAGTTAGCAAGAAGAAATGCTGAGCTGGACCATCTATGACAGCGGCACAGGGACAGGAACACATGCAGACCCACAGGGATAGATGGAAACCAAACGGAAACTGACTCACGGCAGTGGGAGAATCCTAAAACCTGGCCCATACTCCATCAAGGCATTGCTGGGCCCAACCAGTCTGGAAGCCCCCCCCACCCCTCCCTCCTCTGCTGCCAGCGTTCACGTCCTGTGGATCCTCTCTTCCTCCTCCTCCTCCTCCCTGTTCTTGGTCGTCTGTGGAGCAGCTTCCTCCCTCCGCTGCCTCTGTCACTCAGCAGCCCCGCCCTGCCTCCCTCCACCATCTTCCTCTCTGCTCGCTCCCCCTCCCCATCCTCCTCTCTGCTCGCTCCCCCTCCCCACCTCCTCTTGCATCGCTGCAATTGAAGCTGTAGCAGCGTGCGCTACGGCAGAGGGAGAGAGGCATGAGTGTGTGCACAGGCTTGCTTTCTTCCTCCATCCACAGCTAATATGCACTTCTCCATCCACCACCATCATCATCATCATTTGGCCTCTGCTCAGGGTTTTCATGGAAGCATGTTGTGAATAGGAAGGGAATATGTAAAACATGAGAATAAACAAAGCATTCATGAGTATAGTCCATTCTAGTTTATCAGGAACAGGCAAAATATCTCTGTTGAATATAAAATAAAGCAGAATGCATGTTTTGTTCACAGGGTAAGTCATTCATTTTCCAGTCTCTCCTATCTGAACTTTAGTTTACACAGCCAAAAGTGAACTACAAAAGCTACACAAGCAGGGGGCAGTGGTGTGTAGTTTTACAACTGATCCCGCTGCAAATTCCAGGGTAGAAATTGATGAGAATTGATAAAAAGCTTTTAAAGAAAAAGAATGAGCCTTTCTGTGCTACCGTGATGTCGGCATGTCCATCGAAAACAGCAAATTATGACTGTTAAGTCCTCCAGGTTTCCTTTCAGCTGGGGAATCTTCAATCTGAGCCTGCCAGCCCTGCATGCTCGCCACCCTCACATTCATCCTAAAAAAAGCTAAATGGATTTATTAAAAACATGACAAATTTTATGCAAGAGCTCAGATGAAGGGAACTAAAGTTTGGCAATTATAAAAAGGTCAATCCACCAATCTGAATCGCTTTCATGTTTTTTCCTTTAGATTTTTTAGTGTATGTTTAAAAGAGCAAGTGTTACATCTGCCCAAATGTAGGAAAGACTGTCTCACTTTAGCAATTTGTACATATGTATCTGAAGAAATGCATAAAACACAGACATCTTTCTGAATTTATGAGCACAATCATTTATGCATTCACACAGACAACATTCCATCATTATCATCTTTCCTCCCAGCTTTGGCTGCAGCAGCTGGAAAAGCAGCACAAGCAAAACATTTCATTATGATCAGTCTACTTATATCATTTCAACCCAGGCCACTATGAATGGTGGCAGATATACCAAAGCAATGAGCAATGTTTGCGGCGCAGTCACTGTCAGGGTCATTTAAGCCAGTTCCCCTACGTCTAAACTGATTTTTCAAGCAGAACCCGGTTTTAAAACACTGGATATTTGAATAAATACAAGCAGAAATAAATGATTGCAGACAGGAGGACACAGGTGAATGCAGATGGCTTTACCTGATTCAAGATGAATTCAAATGACAATATAAAAAATTACATTGAGGCCACTGCTTTCACCCTGTCTGCAGCAGTGAGGAATGATGAGGGTCGTTTTTCTCAACCTTTGAGAGATGCCACCAGTTATGCACATTAATCCGATACATGGTGTAATGTTTTTGACCAAACTCTGTGTGTGTGTAAACCGTGCTGTGAGACAGCAGCTACCCGTCATCTGAATCCCTGCAGAAATATCATATCAGCATATCTGTCCAGATGCTGAGAATGCAACATATTGAATCGTGTTTCCACAGAGGTTTCAAATTTCGCTCACCGCCTGGGTGAGCTGTTACCTTAGGTTCTTTCACCCTCACAGCGGTGGAGTGCTGGCAGGGGCCGGAATGAGTTGATTAAAGCTTTAGCCCTATTTACAGCTGCATAAGAGCATATATATAGTCCTTAACACCATTCAATCAGGTCAGTGACTACAAATACACAAAAGTTAATAAGATTAGAACTCACAACTCACATCCTCTGATGACACAGAATCAGCAAGTCCCAATGCTCACAAATTTAGATAATTTGTCCATCCGTGTGTGCAACACCACGCCAAACCTCTGATTATTTCACAGGTGATGCTCAATTTTTTAAACCTTGATTTAATTTTAGGATTTTCTTCTAAAAAGCACCAGCCTCCAAACCCCAGTGAGGCTTCAAGGTCTTTTACTTTGTTTCAGTAAGGCATGAGACACAAATACTATCTTATAATGTGCTCCCGTATTGTTTCTAAAGGTGACTGTGGCTCTGTAGCCAGTAACATGTCACATAATGAGTTATATTTCTGCATTTTTATGTATATTTGATCATTTTTCCACTACAATTCTCAAAATACTTCTGATTCTTAACTAAACACACTTATTTATTCTCCCTAAAAACCCAGTCTCAGTAAATTATTAAACAGCTCAATAAAGAGTCGTTAAAAGCATTTTTATGCAGCATTTCGATGTCTGCAGGAAAATGAATGAACTTCAACACAGAATGGAGGAGCAATGAATGTGAGGAATTCAGCTTTCTTCGCCTTTATACACAAGTTAAACGTGATGCATTCAAACGGGTTTCTTGAGCTGTTAAAACTGTGGAAGAATTAGAGCTCATTTATTCAACCAGTGAACATACTTTATTGTATGGGTCGAATGAGAGTCCAAAGAAAAAACGCAATCGAGTTGTGGTTTTAGGACTTTGGAAAAATGACATATAGCACACAGCGAAGACCAACAATAACACGTAATATGATATATTGTAGCCATGGATACAGGTCCCAGAGGCATTCAATCAAAATGTAAATTTATTTACATTTTATTTATCCCGGAGGGAAATTAAAATAAATTAAATTGAATATTGCAGGTGGTCAAATATTCATATCATGTGGGGGTATTTAGAAACTTCTTTATAGACTGTTTAAAAGTTTTCCAAGAGGAACTAACTTTTAAACACTGCTGGATATGGTGTTTTCAATTAAAAAATCTGCATAGATAACCATGTTTGGGAGTTATGTTCTAATGTGAGAGAAGCAGCTGCAGTAGTGGCAACGTGATCACTGTCATCATACACTGACACGTTAGCAAAATGCTGAATCAATTCCTGAAAAAACACCATGAATCACGCATATAATCCCCCACACAGAGCCGTAAGACTGCTAAGGGGATTCCTTTACATTGCGTAAAATGTTCTGCTCATAATCTGTGCATGCGTGAAGACGCAGGTTATTTATGCTGGCTCGCTGGCCCGGGGATTATCCTGCAGCGTTACACACAGGGAGGAGAGAACCAGTGGGAGGAGCAAGGATGAGGGCTAAATCAACACATAGATTAGCCAATAGAAAAGCAGGACTAACAGAGCCGGGGGTGAAAAGAAGATAAGGAGTTAGACAAACAAACACAGGAAGAGAGACAGTCTGAAATCTCAATGTGGAGTCATAAAAAAAAATGGTGAATGATGGATTTACAAGGGAGTTGAAGGGTGAACAAGGTGCCAGATAAAAAGGAAAGATCTGAGTTTTTTTTTAAATCTAATCTAACAGTATCTCAGTTGTTGTTTGTTGTGTACCTGCTCGGGCTGGCGCAGCTTAACTGTTGCCCTGGACCTGTTGAGGAAAACACACGGCCGGAGGAAGGGCACCCGGAGGAGACGGGCCGTTGCCAGATCCAGCAGGAAACTTGAACACAGGCTCCGTGGAGCGATGAGGACGGCCAGGCGTGCGAGCAACGTGGAGGTGCCCTCTTTCCTCCGCCAGCTGGTGAAAGAGACGGAGAAGATGGTCACCTTCTTTTTCAAAGGAGGGTCCAGGGAAGCAGGGTCCGGAGAGGAGGACGGTTTCGATGATGACGACTCCCTGCCGAGCCCTTACCTGGACCGCCCCAACTTGGAGAAGAACGTGTCAGAGGGGGGTTCCGATTTAGGGGTGAACTATGCGGTGGCAAGCATGCAGGGCTGGAGGGCTCAGATGGAGGATGCGCACACATGCATGCCCCAGCTGAAAGGAAACCTGGAGGACTGGTCATACTTTGCCGTTTTCGATGGACATGCCGGCATCACAGTAGCACAGTACTGCTCCAGAAACCTGCTGGATCAAGTCCTGGCAACAGGTACAGGATACTTATTCCATCTATGCTATGAGTACAATTATTTATCTCCATGTCTTTTTTTAATAAATTCGCCCAGTCAAACCATTATGTGTTGCAGCAACAAGGAAAGGGTTTATAATCTTTGTAATCTATGTTTTATGACTATGTTTAATATGTGTAATGGCACTTGCCAACAGTTATTGGCTTTTTAAAAGGTTTCCACACTTGGGTCATTAAGTCAGCAGGGTACAAATTTTTATTGAAGCCAAACTTTTGTCTCCAACAGGTAGGATCCAAGCAAACGAGGAGCCTGAGGAGGTGAAAGAGGGGATACGTGAGGGCTTCCTCGCCATCGACCGTCACATGCATAAAATGGCCCGCCAGGACAACTGGGACAGAAGCGGCTCCACGGCCGCGGCCGTCATGATTTCCCCGCGCTACGTTTACTTCATCAACTGCGGGGACTCGCGCACCCTGCTCTGCCGCAACGGCCAAGTGGTCTTCTACACGGAGGACCACAAACCCTTCAACCCCAGAGAAAAAGAGAGGATCCAGAACGCCGGAGGCTCAGTGACCCTGCAGAGGATCAACGGCTCGCTGGCTGTCTCCAGAGCGCTGGGGGACTTTGACTTCAAGGAGGTGGACTGGAGGCCTCAGACAGAGCAACTGGTGTCCCCAGAACCGGAGGTGTACGAGATGGAGAGGACGCCCGAAGACGAGTTCCTGATTTTGGCTTGTGACGGCGTCTGGGACGCCATTGGGAATGAGGAACTGTGCGCCTTTGTGCGCAGCCGTATGCAGGTGTGCGACGACCTGAGGGAGATTTGCACCCAGGTCATTGACCTCTGTCTCTATAAGGTGAGACAACAGGCCACAATACCCCTGTACGCCAAACATTGTTGAGAGTATTTGCGGAATGCTACCTCGACCAAAGCAGATCTTTCATTTTGTAATATCACAGACAATCGTGCCAAACGGATTTAAAATCAAATTCTTCTTTTTTTCTCAACATCTAGAATCAGAATCAGAATCAGAATTGGGTTTATTGCCAAGTAGGTTTACACATACAAGGAATTTGCTTTGGTGAAAGCACCGAGGCAGCCATTTACTACTCGTGAAGAACACCTGATAGCGTCATCATTTTCTGCATGTGGTCGACAAACTGCATTATTCTAATCCAAAATGCTTACATTTCAGCACGTCCATCTCGATGTGTGGCATGTGGCTTCAATTTAGCGTATTTTATTTTATTTAGAGGACGCAGTGTGACCGTAGAGGAATTTATGAATGGGCAGGCTGGCATTAAGAAGGCGGGGTTTAGCTGATATTGTTGCATAAGTAGATTTCTACTGCTGGGCTTCTTAAATGTCTTTTAGCCACCGTCTCTCTAGACCTGCCCTATAAATAGCAGCATTAACGTACCCTGGGACATTAGATCTGAGAAAGAAAGTCCGCACATGGTTGGGATTAACACTGAATGTGAACGTGTTGAGGAGAGCTCGGCATTACGGCTCAACGCATGCCAGCTCAGGGGCCTTATCCTTGCTGCCGAGGGCCGCTATTCATTTCACTTAAAAAGGCTTACAGAAGCTGCTGAAAGACAGCGTGTTCCGCTACACTCTGACCCCGACTACCTGCAGCTCTCAGGTTATGACACAGTAATGATCCAACAGCGGTATCCAGCAAAGCCTGCAGACTGCAGGTACTGCAAGTTTAGGAGTTATGAGTATAGCTACGATAGCAATATTGATTCAATGCAAATGCAGAAACCAATCAGCACATAAGTCCCAGAATCAATCCACTTCTAGACTATTTGAATAAGTGCGCTCTCTTCCACGTAAAACGTGATCTGTCTCCCTCTGCAGGGCAGCTTGGACAACATCAGCATCATCATCGTCTGCTTCCCTGGTGCCCCCCAGGTGTCGCAGGAGGCGCTGCAGAAAGAAGCAGAGCTGGAGCAGCAGATCGATTCCAAAGTGGAAGGTGACTGCCTGCCTGTGCCAAAGTTCCCTCGGTTACCGAATTTCGTACCTAATGTCCGACCACGTCCTTTCACAGAAATCGTCCAGATGATGAGGTCCAAGGAGGAGGACCCTGACCTTCTGTATGTGATCAAATTCCTGGCAGCAGAAGAGATTGCCGGGCTTCCACCGGGAGGAGGGATCACCAGCAAGTGAGTGAAATCTCATCGCGATGGACAGTGATCAACTTGAGCAATTCGAAGCAGAGATGTGCTTATTCAATTGTCTCCATGTGTCTGTTTCCAGGAGAGACTGCATCATTTCCGCGTATCAGAAACACGTCATGGCCCACAGGACTCAGGAGCCCATGGTGAGACAAATGAGTCATCAAAAAGCCAGAAAATGGTCAAAATTGACTGAATTAAGGACTTATATTAAACTATATTTTCTATGACTGTAAATTAAAAAAGATGGAAGCAATATCATAGTATTTTTAACTTGTGTATGAACGGATTGTAAATAGCTATGCAAACAGCTGAAATGATACCAGCTCTTTATCCTGTCCCCTCTTAGGACATTGAAGGATCAGAGGAGGACTCAAACTAAAACTGCCACCATGGGAACGGAATCTACATCAGCCTCCTCATCTCCGTGGAGATCAAGATGTTTTAACCAGAAGTGTTACATTTTAGATGAGCGTGTAATCTACTAAACACGCTCTCCTTGACAATGACCCACATATTTGCTTTTTGGTCAATTAAAATGGAATTTTACTTGAAAAATCATGTTGCTCATTTGTAACCTTGTATATTATTGAATGACAACAGTTTAAGCAGCTTTTGTCTGTAACTTATTCAAGGGAAATTGAAGCAGGTGTTCAAATAATTGAAACATATGTTGAAATTGTTCAGAAACATTTGAATTATTGAATAATAATATTTTTTTTAATTAGAGGGCATCAATAAAAAATGACCATGTTACCACTGTGAGGCACTTCTTCTTACATTTACTGACGTTACGTGCATTTACTGAACTCATTTAATTTGAAATTAGTTTCAGTATCATTTCCACATATTTTTTTCGTCTTTTCATGATGCTACCTTAAACCGCACTTGTGGATCTCACAATGAACTGGTATCACTGAAAACTAGTTCTAATAGTATAAGCCCAGACAGTTATTTCCTGAAAAGGTTTAGGTCTGTATTTTTGCTTTCCAGGAAAATTCTTGAAACTCAATATCAAATTTGGCATTGTCTCCACAAAGACATAGATAAGCCTTCAATAATATTTAAACATACAGGGTCTGGACATAGGCAGATATCTACTATTTACTTGAGGTCTCAGGCTGAACATTTACACTATTGGGTGATAGCGTATACAGACTAACCTGGACATTTCGAAACAAATGATATGACACTGCTTATTCTTTAGAGACTCATTGTGTAATACCCAACTTGGTTTTCTCTCATCAGAAAACAATAGCTTGACATATACTTCGAGTCCTGTGACACAAAGAAATATATCTCAATAGATAATAAGTTTGCATAGTACTGTCAAGAAACAAAGGTCAGCAGGGATATTTCAAAGCAACAGAAAATGTATACCATGAGTGAAGAAATCCAGAGGGCGAGACACAGAGAGACAGAAGGAGAATGTTGGACTGAGAGATAAAGAGGGTAGAAAGCAAAAACAAATGGTTTGAAGGAGTTTGCACTCGCACTTCATTTAATAAGTACTGCGTGGCTTTTAAGCAGGGATGTGTGATGTGGTATGTCAGCATGGGAGCAACGATCTTCATCTTCTAAAAACATGTCCACAGACAACATCTGTTTAGCCTGACGAATCTTACCCTCTGCAAACGAGAGTCTTTTCTTGGAATTCTTCATTCAAAAGATCACGCTGTACAATATTAACTTTGTGATTTTCAAAGATGCCTAGTTTTATTGCATGTCAACTGATGGTTGTACCTGGAATAAACCATCTGGCAACTAAAACTGAAAATTAAAGCAGTATAATATGGGTCAAAGTCAAAGTAGTCCATGGAGAGTTCTAGGGAACTGTATTTTGCGGTCATGGGTTCTTCAGAATGTTTAGCAATGGTGTGGTAGGACTCAGCATGTCTGTATTAATTGACTGTGCAGTTCTTCTATTGGATAACACATCCTTACCACCTCCTGACTCCTGAGTCAGATCACTCAAATGTTCAACATAAGGTTCTGCTCATCTGGGAACACTTGGGAAAACAATATACGTCCAGATACACGCACTGATAAAGACCAAAAGGACGTCAGACAAGCGGAAAAGTGAGTAATGGACTCAAATGCTGTGTTGTTCAGATAAGAAGCACCGTTTCTTGTGGTTTGTGTTACGCCACAACAGCAAAGTTCTCTGTTTGTTGCTATCAGACCTTTAGCTATCAGGTTTTAGCTGGACAATTATTCATTGATTGCAGGCCACCTCTGCCGTGTAATGCTTGTAAATGCTGTTATTCCATCGAAACGAATGGAAATATTAGTCATTTTTAATCATTGTTGTTTCTATTTAGGGATAAGGGGCAGACTACATTAGGAAGAGGCTTCATACTAAGAGCTTTTGGCCTTATTTTCTTCTTATTTCAGAGACTTGTTTGATGATTTTTTTTTTTTTAAAGACATTGGGGAGGCACCCAGCGACACTATGTGAAGCGTGCTGCAATGTTAAACAAAACCAATTATTTTTATCATATCTAAATCCAATTTTTAACTGAACTAAGGACTCAGCATATGTTTTGAATGAGCTCAGAAAAGAATGCGATGTTTCTGGGTCACGTATAGTTCTTCCGTACAGCTTTAACCTGCATTTTTGGATGGTGCATGTTATGCTTCATGTTAACACAATCCACACTATGCTTATGTTGATGGACGTTCGTGTCAAATGGCTCCACAATTCATAGGCACATTTTCTTGCAGCTTGAATAACCTCTTCCCATCTGTACTACCGGGGGTTGCTTGTGTTTGTGTCAAGTCTTGCTACAGCTATATTATCAGGTTGTTTTTTATTGAATGAATTATCAATGTATCAATTAAATTACCCATTTCTTTTTTAAAAAGCATTTTAAGAAACTTCAGGTGAGATTAAAAAATCATTTCATACAGAATCTCAACTGTATTGGAAGTGGGGTTGTAAAATCAAATATTCAAAGGCTCATAAGCACACAAGGCAAGACTGAAGACCACAATTAAGTGTGTGCCGTGAACTTGGCACACTGTTAAAAACTGCTGAATAATATGAACCAATTATGTGCAAGCACAGAAAGCACACACCTTCTCCAAGCAAATCAATACAGAAAGTGTAGAAAATTAACTTTATGCTTTCCCAACTCTCACACGGGATCATAGAACTATGTGGTGAACCAAAAATGGAAAAGAATTTACACACTGATTTACCAGGACCAGATGATGGTTAATTTTTTTACTGTGGCCCAGATGTTGTTCATTTTAGCTGACAGCAGAGCGCCAGCTTATGCATTTAATCGGATTGTGAGTTTATATTTCACTATTTGGCCGTTTTTAATTATGTATGTAAACGCCCCAAACTGAAGAGAGTTCCTTTTTTCTTCTTCACTCTGCTCCTATCTGAATTTGACCATTTCTGCCAAATGTCTTTCTTCTTGGGAATTATTTCAACTATCAATTCAATTTAGTTTTTGAAAAAATACTTTTATGTGCAAATAATTAGATCAAATTTTAGATCATTAAAAGACTAAATCTTGTAGGAAGTGAGAGAGATCAGAATTTTTTTTACCTAAAAGACACAATGAAAATATCCCTGCCCATACAGACATAGTGGCCCATTTCAGTTTTAACACAGTCCAAACTGAACAGAATAAAAGACAATCTCCGTTTTCTTTTCATTACAGATAAAACTATGTATTTTTTGCCAGCAAGTGAATTGAGTTAACCCACCCGTTAAGCCATAAACAACACAGCCTTGAAATATTTCAAACGTGAAGAAAAGGCCTCTTTTGTCAGTTTGGTTTTGGAACATGCCTCTTTGGAGTGAAACGTCCGGATTCGTGCGTCCGTGCGTCACCTGACGTCGCCATAATGACTCACCTGTGGAGAGCAGGTGGTTTCATAGTGAGCAGGAGAGTTCTGCCCAAGCTGACTTGTGGCCTTCACTGTGTGCGCAGCCTGCAGGGATGCCTCTGAACGCAGGAGAGAGCGGCTACGGCAGCGCGCCCGGTGGGGGGCTGGCGGGGGCCGCGGGGGCCTCCGAGACTGCGCCCCTGCTCATGCCGGAGCCGGATCCGGATCAGGAGCCGGGGCCCGGTCACCAGTGGAAGCCCATGAGCAGGGAGGCTCTGGAGGCCGCGGCGGGGGGTCCGGGCTGGAGGAGGGTGCGCTGCTACCTGGTGGCGCTCTTCTGGCTGGCGTGGCTGACCATGCTCGCCGTTGCCGTCGCCATAGTGGTGGTCAGCCCCCGGCCGGTCGGGACGTCGCTCAAGTGGTGGCAGAGGACGCTGTACTACCGGCTGGAGCCCGACCTGTCCCCGGGGGCGCAGGCCCAGGGCCCGGGGGGCGTCGACGGTGAGTGCCACCGGGAAAGAAAGCAGTGCTCCTCCTCCCTGAAATGTGTGTTATTTGGTTTAAGTGCTCCTAAAAAGTAACTAGTTTTATTATGAGTGAAATGGGGGAAAAGTCTAAGAGATGCCAAATGACACAAGAACTGGACTGAAAGTCATTAGCAAAATATTAAAATTGTTTATTGTTCCTCACAATGTCATCCCCAACATTAATGACACACACTTGGAGAGAAGATAGTTTTTTGGTCACAAGTATTTGGTGATTGCAACATCTGTCATAAAATGAGCTTAACTTTTTTTTTCTTTGTAATCATCTGGCCTACTGAGACAAACTGTTATTGAGATGGGCAAGCAGAACACGATGATCTTCTGAATGACTCAGTGTCTCTCTGAAGGGGTGTGTGAGCGACTCCCCCACCTCAGGTCTTTGGGTATCGGGGCTCTGATCCTGGAGGGCGTCTTTATCAAGAGGACATCTTTCTCCAACCTCACTGTCGCCACCAAAAACCTGGAAACACTGGCTCAGATCCAACGCCTGCTCATAGAGAGTAAAAAAGCAGGTGTGTAAATCCATTTTAAAATATTTTTTTCAGTCTGTGTGTGTATTTTCCCGATATTTGACTTTCTTTTTTTTATTATTATTTTTACTCCAGATCTCAAAGTGATGCTGGATTTCTGTAACGCTGAACCGTTTGCGCTTCAGGATGTAGCAGGAGCTCCGGACAGGCAGTCGAACCACTCGGGAAAAGTCCAGGTGAATCCCTTTTCCCTGGTTGAGTTGCTTTCATCTCTGGGTCTCTTTTTAAACATTGTTACTATTCCTACAGCCTGCTTTGAGGTTCTGGTTGGAGCAAGGTGTAGCGGGTTTTGTCATATGTGACACAGATGCATCTTATTCAGGAGAGGTAAATGTACTGATTTTGTGAATAATTACATTTTTTTTCAACAACCAGTGTTTCCGTAAATTGAACATTTCCCAAATCCTCCAATAAAAAAAATTCAGACACTGCTGGAGTGGAGAGGTGTTCTGGAAGAGTTCAGCTTACAGGGGGAGGAAAGGTGCAGTGTTTTACTTACAAATGTAACAGAGTTTTTTTTTTTTCCAGTTTTCCTTCTCTGTGATAAAATTAATTGGAAGGGTTGCCTAAAAATGTACATGTGTGTGAGCCCTTCAGGATTGTGGTGGTGAAACAGACCAGAGATGTTTTGCATCCACCGGAAGGATCTGGCCGGAGCAACTTCACGCTGGTGGACGTGGTCATGAAGTCCATTCTGCCGTTCTCAGACGAACGTCTGTCAGCCCAGGAAGTGGCGAATGCTATAGAAACACAGCTGCAAACACAGGAGGAAGACGTATGGCCAAGCTGGACTGTAAGGCCGATGTTTCTAGATGTGCTTTGGAATTTATCTGGTGTGTGTGTGAGGAGGAGCAATGTCCAGGGTAAATGTGGTGTAGAGGCTCTCAACGGATGCCACGATTTGAAATGGTGCAGACCTTAATTGTTTCTTTATGTTTTCCTCCTGACATGTAGGCAGATTAAACTGGACTTGTATGGGTTTTATGGCAAAATGTGTGATGTGAACATTCTTGCTTTGAAAGCTTTTAAATGCTTCACTCACCCTCTGCATGTAACTTCATATCTCCTGGGGGGTTTGTTCCTTCAGGTTGGAGGTGAGGCCCCTCATCATTTGAAGAAGTTACTGTTGGTGTTGATGATGACTCTGCCGGGGTCTCCTGCCTTCGAGCATAACGTAGAGAACGGCCCCACTCAGGTAAGGCCTCGTCTCAGACCTTGACTCATTCGTCATTTTTTACAGGCCGATGATGTCAAATTTCCCTCCGTGCAGAGCAAGCCCCTGGCAGGAGGGTTAACGCACGGGGAGACGAATGAGACGGCAGATGCTAACGGAGTGAGTCACGATGGCAGCTGGTGCTCCAGAAAAACCTCAGCCCTGCCCCAGCCTATTTGAACAAATTACCGTGCTAGTCATGTTCTGTTGGCAGTATTTAACCTCCATGTGTCTCCTCAATTCCACCCCTCAGCGCAAAGCGAAGACCAAGAGTTCAGCAGCGGCCCTGTTCACCACTCTCAGCCATTCCAAAACCAGGGAAGAAGCACTCCTCTATGGCAGTTTCACCCTCCTGCCCTTCAACACCTCCTCAAACTTTTCTTCCTCGTCCAACTCCTCCTCTGCTCCCATCCTGGCTTTCCTTCGCTCCTGGGGGTGCGTAGAGTTTCTCGTACTGCTCAACGCCGGGCCCGAGCCTCACCGCCTGGATCCTGCCTGGGCCCCGAGCCTCCCTGAAAGGGGGGTGTTTGTGGCCAGCACGGGGATGAATCACCTGGGGCCCACGTCCCTGCACACACTCTCTCTGCAGCCCAACGAAGCCATCGCAATCAAACTGTTCAAGGCGGGGAACTACTCGTAGGGTTGGAGTGTTCGGCCATGTTAAGATGCTGCCATGTGAGCTTTTGTTTCAGACTGATACCTGAAAGCTTGTTTTTAAGTTTCATATGTGAAAATAAAATGACTGTGTGGCATAATGTCTGTCTGAATTATTGGTTAACTCTTAACCTGGGAGGTGATCAGAAGCAGACCGTTTGGAATAGATTCCCAACTCAAGTCAAATTATTATATTTATTTCTAAGAAATTGGTTCCTGTGGTTATTTTTTCTCTTTAATATGCCTCATGTTTTGTGAATTAAATCTAACCCATGAGTCTGCAATGAGTCACTTGGAAAAAAAAAACGACGTGCGCCACATTATAATTGCTCTCGGATGTGAACTGGTCTTGATTCAAAGCCCCTTGGGTGATATTGGGTTGAGTGATGAAAGTGCAGGAAGCCGATGGGGGTTTGTGGTGATTTATAACGGAATCTTCTCTAACATTTATTGTTACTGGAAATAGGAGAAACTATGACTTGTTATGACACATGCACTTTGGAAGTTTGCATTACTTAACCACATGGTGGGGCTGCATTGCCAGTGACAGCTCTGCTGGTTTCAGGGCACCATTTTTACACAGGATTTCATTATGTAACTACAATATTGCAGTAAGGTGCATTCAAAACATTCACTTTTAATTAACAACAATCAACGTTGGGATTTTTATTCCTAGATTTGATATTCATAAAGTCTGTGTCACAAAAGGAAACACTTTTAAAATGATAGTTTATTCATTTGAACACATTTACAGTCATTCACAATATACACGTGTGCAGAAAATGTGCGGGTGGAGACATGTTTGACTGGATCATGCATGACCGAGCACAAGCAAAAAAGAACCAGCACAGCCATAAATCATCAAACTCTTATTCTGACATTGTTGGGACACGGTGTTTGAACCAAGACAAAGCTCCACGATTAGAACAACTGAAAACTTTATGAACAGTGTAAAAATAGTAACGCTAAAAAAATAATGCCAATACAAAGTCAGCAAAAGACACATTCTCACGGCGCAGCAGCAATGTGCTCCTATACATTCACAACAAATACAGACAGAATTGAAATCAGTCAGAGGAATAAGTAGAATCTCATCTTTGTGCAATAATGAAGCAGACAGAAATAAAGGCAACTGACAGTTACTTAGATAAATTGTTGTGTTTTTCTAACTAAAAACTAATTTTCATATCATTTAAACTCTACATCTAAGAAGCCAATCATAAAAGAAAGTCATGTTAGTGCATAGAGAGGAAACTAAAGTTTTCCTTTGAACACGGCAACTCACATTTATTACTCTTGAGTCTATCTTAGATTTAAGGATCATTCCTAATTAGCTTTGTTCATTTTTGAACGCTCATGCTTATCATTAAGTGAACGCAACAAATGTAAGGACAAGATTCTGATATATAAAGCCAAATAGCTAATTTTCACATTACTTTTACAGCCTGCAACACAGTTGAACAACATTCAGCGTATACTGAGTAATCCAAGTAATGAGCAATGAAATATATTTTCCACACCGCTTATTCCCAACAGGGTCACAGCTGATAACATGCAGAAGGTGGGGTACACCCTTGACCATCACTGGGGCCACACAGAAACAAACAACCACACACACTCACACTCACTCCCAGGGACATTTTCAAGTATCCAATCAACCTAAACATGCATATTTGTTGGTCAGTGGGAGGAAGCCAAGCGACAGTGCAAACCACCACACCACCACTCAAGTTTTTTACTCAAGTAAAAATATAAATGACTCTGTTTATGTCTTAGATTATGCATTATCTTCTAGTTACAGGGGTCAAAACAATACCATGCAGAAGCATCATCATTTTACAGACTTCCATTTTCAAAAACAGTGATTCTGTCATAAACAGTGGACTGCAAGCAAAGCTGCACATTATTTATCCAAAGCTTTCTAAACTAGCATATGTTATGCAGATATATATTATGACGAAGAGAGGAAAGACGGGGGGGGGGACAACAGTGTACCACAATGAAGTGTCCAGGAATTTTTAGGGCAGTGTGCACACCTGGAGTGTTTCCCCCACATCGGTTGCAGCTTATTGCTACAGAATAAGACAAACGTGTTAACCTGCTGCTGTTCCTCAGTGGTAATTCACACATGCCAGAGTTAGTTTGGTTTGGCATCTCTGTTTGTTTACACTCTTCCAGTCGGTAGTGTAAATGTCAGCTGAGTGACAGCGTTGGTTACAGTGGTGTGTTCTGCGGTTCGCAGTTAAACACATTGCCCTCTTCTTTTTTTTTTTCTCTGTTACTGCTACCTGTGGACCCATGCCAGATAAGAGCCTCATCGGCTCTGACCCACCACACTGTTTCACGTGCCATCCAAAGACCGTGATGACAGAAAGTTGCATCGGTCCCAGCCCGGCGATTGGAGGAAACACTTAATAAATCCCTTTAGAATGAACAGAGGTTTAGAAACTCACAAGCCTTTCACATATGCAAACAAAGCCACAGACACACTTTGCAAGAACATTTCAAATTTGTATTCCGTCCATGGCAAGTTAAATGTTTTGACAGTTCATATCATTGATTTCAGAACTATGCATACACAATAATGTTTCAGTTAACACAGTCTAGTCCATCTGGCCCGAGAGTGACGTTAGTTTAGAGCTGATTGGTCAAATATTGATGGATATCTATGCTACATGAAAAACTGTAGAACCCAGACATTATTTAGATTAAAACCTATTGAGGGTAAACTTACAAACATGTAATCATTATGAAAGACTAGACTAGAGCAGAATAGACAAAAAAATATTAATATCAACTTTTTGACCGCAGATATATCATTGTGGGATGACACAGATATTTACATTGAGGGTGACCAATGTAAGATAAGATGGATGCTCCAAAAGAAAAGAAAAGAAAAGAACAATAGTATACATTCATGCATGTTGAATTCCCGAATAGCTTTATCCAGAGGGCATGTTCATCCCTGAATTCCTTTGTGCCAAGTCCGTGTTCTGTGTCCCTGCTCAGAGTTTCATGTGTCCATGGGAAGTTAACACTAAGTGCAACATTTTCTTTAGAGTTTGTCAGTTTCCTTTGAGACGGGTGCTTTGTGTGTTCCCACAAACTGTGACCACAGACGTCTCTATACTGAAATGTCAGAGAGATTTTTAGAGTTTGGCACCAATGTTTCAGACGAGGCCTCTCGTCTGGCTATTCAGCTTTCACATTTGAGGGTTTCTGTGGGTTCTGATGTTGTGTTGATCCGGGAAACTGTCGTGTCTAGGAGTTTCGCTCTATGGCGTTGTCAAGCGGTAAAGAGAGAGCGCAGTGCGCTTTCGTCTTCACGGCTCTTTTGCTGAAGCAGCAACTCAGCAGGGAGCACAGGTGGTGAAAGACAGACTTGCGGCATATGATAAAGACCCAAGGATCCACGATGGGGTTGAGAGCGTAGAAGCGGAAAGCTGTCAAGTTCTCCTTGTCACCGCAAAATGGATGAATGGCATTGATGAAGCCCGCGATCTGAAGAAAAAAATCAAGGCCATGGTTAGATGCAATCTCTGCTATTTCCTGATTTTGGGGTGAATTACGCTGAATATTAAACCAAAGACTTCCATCAAGATAACTCACACATATGCCAACACATGTCTGGCATGAAAGAGAAACTTCTGTCTATTAAGGCTGATGATGAAGGACAAACATGAATGTTTGGACAGAATCAAGAACAAGTTGTATCATAGCCATCTAATTTACCATGCTCTATATGTCGATCTTCATAAGAATAGATTCTGTACACATAATGAAAATTATTCCAATAAATCTGAGTGTTGGTTAGTTTTTTCAGCCAGTGATTAACATAAAAGTGGAAGAGACTCCAGTCATTCCCATTGCTCTTGTATCTTTATAAGTGCATTTTTACCCATTTCTCTTTCTTTTACTAGTGACATGAATCCTAGAAGAGTGTAGCTTTTCTTTAGTCATTAACAATAGCCAGTAACTCTGGGATTCTGCACAGGGCCTGTGAGTCGGATGGAGCCATATCAAACCTGTTTCGAGGCTCTGTTACAACAAAAGCAACAGAGGCGTCGGCGCTTTGGTGCTAAAACTAAACGACAACGCAACTGCATGTTCAGTATCAGTGTCAGTTGGGACCGCGCTTTGCCTCGCTCAGATGGGCCGCTGCCCATCTGTCAGCACCTGACTCCAATAAAACACCAACAGCATGATCGCACCTTCAGGTTTTAGAACCGTCTCGTGTCCACAAACCTAAGCAATGCTACTTGATCAGATCAGAGGTGTCTTGCATTGACCTTTAAGGTATGACGGACTGCAGACAGGTAGCCCAGACAGCAGCAGCTGGCTGCTTACTCATCCAGAACAGAGAGAGAGAGAAGTAACAGCTGGCTTGGGAAGCTTCTTCGTCACCTCACTTCTCTTTCTATCAACAATTCTCCATTTCCTCCATGAAATATCCAACAAACAATGGCCTAATTAATGACCAGTGCTGATTGAGTGCCTTTGTAAGTTGTGTAAATGTTTCCCTGTTGCTAGGGCCTGGCCTGAAAGCTAATAAGTTGGAGACAATGCGCAAAGGGCCAGAGGGAGCAAAACCCAGAGCCAGGACAAATTAAACTACCGGTGGGATGAGACACTGACCTCACTGTAACCTCTAGCCGCTCATCAAGTGGCTAAACCTTTCACATAAGCGGACGTTCACATATTGATCCACACAAACGAAAAAGATGTATGTGTTGCTTTAAATAAGAAGGGTATCTGGATTACAGACTTCGGTTAGCCTCGGAGCACATGAAACGTGTTAGACAAAAGTAGTTACAAAACACTCAAATAAAGAAGTGTCTGACTTTTTAAGAAGTTTTCATATCATTAGAGACTGAATGAATTTCGAGGATTTTCTGAAGTTACACAATCTGTTGGACTTGCTGATAAACAAAGATTAGGAAACACACACAAAGGAGACATTAGTGTCCTTAACTTTCTTTCACAAGACAACCTCTACTTGTTGTAAACTTGTAGGCTGCAGCAGATTTAAGAAAAAAATAACAACATTGCATTTCACAATTTGGGCTCTTAGCATTTTTGTCAGGTTGTTGACTCAGTTACTCCATTCAGAAAATTACTGGCAACAACTTTTGGTGAGTTAAGCTATCTGTTTTTGCTTTTTGTTAGTTTTAAAAATGATGATCACTCAATCAGATCAGAGGTTAAATAAGTTAGTAAGCTTGGTGATGTCTAAATTGCTAGCATGGAAGATGTAGACTGCAGTGGAAAAGCAGCAACATAACATAAAGAAAGACCGTTTGTAGTCATGCATGAAATCATGCATCTGCATTTGCAAATGCTTTGGCATAATAGGAAAGACTATTTCTGGATGTTTATATTTTCACAGCAATTAATGTTAACTTCAACGTGACGAGTACAGTTTGTGGCGCACGCTGTTCCCTCATATGAAAATGAATATGACGGATACACTGAGCGATCAGCGAGAAAACCTTTAACTATCCCCACTGTTCAACAAGACACAGGCCTAACCCCGGCGTCAATATTTGATTTAAAAGTTATTATCCACTACATTAATCAAGCAGTGTTGCCAGAAACATTTCAAACAGGCATTTACCCTCGTGGACTCTGCCACCACCCTCACCGTCGTAGTCTCATTTCACATCATCACCCTTATTGGAGCGTCTGCTCCTGCATGCCACCCTGCCTCTTATGGTACTCTTAGCAGACCTGAAGCCCTACAGAGAGGCAAACAAATCACTAGCCATCCTCTCCAAGCACTCCAGGCTGTAGAGCAAAAAAAAATGACACGTCAGGCTCTCCTTAAACAGGACCAAATTAATGCGTCAGTGTGTAGTCTATGAGCGGCCCAGAGGGCCTATACAATAACGGGGGGGCAGTAATAAGGATTGCAATGTCATGCAGGTGCGGATAGCTTTGCTAGTCCTCACTATGTATACACAGACATATAACAAATATCCTGCCAAAGCACACATACACTTAAAAAAGGGTGCACCCAGTAAACTCGCTGATAGCTCACAAAGCACGTTTTGAATTCGTCTACCACCGTCTAAAGGACACTGCTCGTGCTAGCCAAAGCTCTAGCCACCAGAAGATTCATTTCAACTTTACCAGAAGTTTGCAGATTACGTTGAGTGAATGTAAATGATTCATCAACATTGACAAGTGATAAGTGTTTCAACATCCTGACGTCTGAGTGAACTCGAGCACCTGGACCCAGTTTGCTGGGTGTAAATGAGAGCATCCTTTCAGATATACGCAGGATGCTATTTGAGGCTGACGACTGCTGCATCTTTCAGGAAACAGACCACATAATGGGTGCCCACACTCTGCAATCCATTACTTTCCATTTCGTGGCCCCGGTACACTCCTCCTAACTGTCTTTTCCTGATCGTATTTCAGTGTACAGTCATTACACAGGGTTGAGAGCCAGCTCAGTGATTACTGGATTACTGGATTAGAAGATAGCTGACAGGCATGGGGACGCAGAAGAAACCTTCATTCACGAGAGTACAAAAGGAGATTCTATCAATCTTGTGCAATTTTGTCAGCGTGTGTTGGTCTATTTATTTATTGAGAAAAATAATAGGATTACTTAAAAACATTTCCGTGAAATTAGGCAAAAGGCAGGCAACTGGACAAGTCACCAGTGCATCTAAGGGCCCCAGAGAAATTAAGCACTACACATAATACACACATTTGGGGATTTAACCTGGAAACCCCCTTTCTGATAGTGCTAACCAACACACCACCTTGCCTCGCTGCATTGAAGCCATCTGATCTATTTTTGCTGAAAGTATACTTTCAGTATACTTTAACCTACTCTACACAAAAGCAAATTACTTTCTCCTTGCAATTTATTATATTTTTCGCTGACACTTTTGCCATCCTTTTTGAGCAAACATAACTATGCGTTACTATCCAAAACTGTATAATGTGGAAAACAAACACGTAGCAAAATAGCACGTAGCAGAAAAAAGTCCCCTGGTCGGATGAGTCAAATTCTGAAAGATCTGCTCTGAAAGAAATTCCAAACCACATTCAACATGTTAGCCACCGGATGCTTCTTTTGTGGAGGAGTATGGTTTCTTACGAACAAGATTCATTTACGGATAGGAACATTTGCAGCACCTCAAACGACTTGAGACCCAAATCAGCTGACCTAAATGAGAGATAAAGTGAAAATGTCAAACTTGAAGCAGTTCTACTTTTCAGTTCCCATTAGTGTTCCAGCACAGTGTTTTTCAAGTCATGCTGGTGGTGAGTCATGCATTCCAGTGATACTATATATTAAAAAGGTTAGCAGGTTATGCCAAAAATATACGGGGAATTTCAGCATTGCAAAAAGTGCATTTAGCATGTTGCCTGGGGGGACATTTCAGATCCAGAAAAACATAAAGAGAGGAAGAAAAAGTTGACTTTCTTTGGAAAGGGCTCTTGGAAAGTTCCTTGATTTAATCTTCTTCAATGAAAGAGAGAGATTTTTATTGACATTTGTCTTGTTTGTTTAGCATTTAGCTGGTGATTTACACAAGTCACATGCACGAATTGTCTACTGTTAATTCAGCAGCACACTGGTTCAAAGTGACAGCAAATGTTTTTCTTCAGACAAGTTTCATCAGGGGAATTACACCGTCTGAAAGTCCATTAGTGAGTTTCCTCTTTTGCAGTGAGTGTCCTTATGCCATTAGACCTTTTCTCAGCAATGTGCAAAGTGGATTAGAACGGGAGGGGGGGGGACTTGTCAGCAGAATTGCTGTCATTATTTGAGCGAAATCAAATGGCAAGTGTAAGACACAGGCATTTTACAGGGTCAGAATGTTTAATCATTGCACTTTCTATGCTGTTCTCCAGCAAACTGATAAAGAGACCGTCTACGGTCGAAAGAAAAACAGGAAACGGAAGTAACCCTAAACGCGAAGTGGAAGAAACTGTAAAAGTAATAAAACCAAGCTGTTGAGGCAAACGCCAGAAGAAATGGAGTGGGCAGATATGTGCCAACACCCAAAGAAGACAGGCTGACATGTCGCAATATTTGGGGACACAGAACATGTGCAGTTCCTCTTCGGAGATCAGGCCGTTGCTCCATCACTGTGATGGATGATGAACGGTTACCATACCACATGCACTCCAAATCAGTGGCAGAGTGTATTCTTTAAAATGTCAGCGAGGAGACTGGGATTAACTAAAAGATCAGTTGATAATAACAAACAGAGAGCGTCAACTTCAAATCCAGCGTGATTATTGTTGACAAATGCGCAGGTTTTTTATGTTCTTCATTTTCAGCAGGTTGCGACACACGTCCTTTCCCAGACCCAGGACGTCTGCCATGAGCACACTACATCTTATTTATAACAGCTGAACATTATCAAGTGCTTCTTTTATTTTCATTGGCAATGAAAAGCCTCCACTTGAAATAACAGTGTTGCACATGGCTCCTATTTACATAGATCTATCGCTCATTCCCATCTCTTGTGATAACA